GGGGGGAGTCTCCTCCTCTAGACACCCGATCTCTCAAGACCGTCAGTAAAGCCTTGCTTTTTGCTATACCTTGTGTCTCTCAGGTCAGTCTTTGGGTCTGGACAGGTGAGTGTTTTTTTTATATATGACACCTGGGATGAGGGACACCTGGAAAGAGCACTCCTGGGTGAGGGCTGGCTACTGGGCTCAACACCACAGGTGTTCTCCCATATTTGATGCTTCTGGAGGGAAGCCAGGTGTTCCTAGGCTTCAGCACCCTCCCACTCCCCAGCTATCCCTGGTGGGGAGAGGGCAAATGGCAACAGACTGGAAGCTGGCCACTGTGAGATCCATGGGCGACCAAGTTGAGACTTCAAACCACTCCCCAGGTTAAATGGGGCATCCACGGTACAGCTCATATCTGGTCTCTTTCTTTTTTTTCCAAATAAGGAAATTTGCAAATTTAAGAAAATATGCTTTTTCTAGGTAATATCATGTTATAATACTAATTGTTTTCACCAATTTTGACTATTATCAATTTTTTCAACAAATAAATTTTGATCTGTCTTGTTCCTAACGTGCTGTGGGTCTAAGCTCTGGCCCATACCACTGAGCTGAGGACGGTCACAGGACATTCCCATCCCACAGGTTCCCCAGAAGTGTGACAATGCAGGGATGTGCTTCTGACTTACTGTGATAGCAGGAGATGCAGAAGCTCAGATGAAGCTGTGGCACAATGGGCAGACTGCTCGCCTGACCACCCCTTACCCCATGGTAAGGAACTGGGCTCAGCACCTGAAGCTGCATTACCCTGCCACCCTAGACTGCCAGCTCCCAGGAGGGCTCGCCTGACACAATATTCTGAATTACACCAAGGGTGTGTACAGAGCTGTGTCAACAAGGAGGTGTCTCTGCAGCCACACAGCCTCCCAGAGACTGCACTCCTACTCTGCAGCAGGCTCCTCTGCCGGCTGGTCTGTGCCTACCTTTCAACTGAGACACCAGATTACACAGCTAAGGAGAAAACAGAACCTTCAGTCTGCCTCCACCTGTCCCTGGACTTCCTCTGTCAAGGCTCCAGGCAGCTTCAGGCATGGTGTACTTGGGTTCTAGCCTGAGCTAGGTTTCTAGGGGTGCCACCCACAGTGTAGCCCACCTGTGCCTGGCTACACTAGGCCAACTCGGGCAACTAGAGACAAAGCCCAAACCCAGCCAGGGCAGAGCCCAGAGCCAGCAGCCTGAAGCTAGGCTGCAGCACACTGTGTGAGTGCAACTTACACACTGCTGTCTGTGAGGGACAGGGTGTCAGCATCGCTGGACAGGCTTTGCTGCTCACTGTCGTTGGCACTGGCGGCGGGGGCCAGGGCGCAGCCGGAGCTGACGTAGTAGGAGTGCACTGGCTCCCTCCAGGGTCCATACCTGCAAACAAGGAGGGGACATGAGTGGCAGCCTGTAGTGCCCTTTAAGTCCACATCCCCAGAATTATCTGAATATCTTACTATACGAATTAGAAGTGTCAACAGTTTAGGAAGAAAAATGGACCAGAAAAGGCCAGTGTCCCTCCCTCCCCAGTCCCTATGAGTGGGCCCAGGCCTGGGCACCATTACACCTGTCCCTGCTTTGGGAAGATGTCTCAGTAGGCACAGATGCTCCCATGAGCTTGGTTTCTATGCACGTAACTAGAAATGGAAGGAGCATAGAGCTGGCCCTTCATCCATGCTATTGGCTACAAAGCCCACCTGGCCTCCAGGTCCACTTGAGGCATTTCCAGAGCAGGAAACAATGGGCTGGGAAGGGCAGGCCTCAGCAGCCTCAAACTGGGTTGATCATAAGCAACCAGGACACTGGTCTGCCTTCCAGCATGCAGGGTCAGCCTCCCTCCCTGACATGAGCAGCCCCACAGGTGCCAACCTTCAGCATCACATTCTTTACTGAGTATCAAGATGAGCTATTTCCAATGACACCATTGTTGCCACTTTCCCAGGTTAAGTGCTCAACTATTTTTAGGTTTAGCTACTGCCACTAAGAATATCAAACTTTGGTAACTTTCTATAAACATTCATTTAGTCAAAAAGAAAAGCTCAAGTGAGAGAGAAGTCCCCACTGCAGGCCCCCACCCTGCCTCCACTCTCTCCTGTCAACACCACCTGGCCACTCCAGCAGGATCAAGGCTTCCACATACCTGTCTCTCTGACTCAGCCTCCCAACCCACCCAACAGAAGTGCCTTCCATATATATGAGAGCTCTTCTACAAGATGGCAAGGAGGCAAGTGCAGACAACCCAGTGGAGATCAGGCTTCCCTGTGTAGTGAGCAATGTGGTCAGAGGAGGAGGGAGAGAGGAGGGACACTCAGATGGGAGGAAGGAAAGAAAGTGAGGGGGGCACCAGCCACCTGCTTTCCTTCTAAACTCCTGGACAACTGCACTGGTTCTCAGTGCAGACCACCAGCACTGCTGACAGCTCTAGCCTCTGAAAACACATGCACCACTGAGCTAATGTGACAAAGCTTGCTGTGGCCAATGACAGGTAAGGGGGTGTTACCTGTACTGCAGGACCCACTTTGACAGCAGCTGGGAGCTGCAGAGGAGGCTGTGTGTGGCAACCATACTGTCAGGTGGCTCAGCTAGGCTCACTGCAGTCCTCAAAATATACTCAGTGGGGTCCACACAAACATGCTCAACTGACTTTTGACAGAAATGCAAATGCCATCCAACAAAGATGGCCTCCTCAACATGGTGCCGGAGCAACAAGCACAAGCCAAAACACCAGACCTATCCCAAATCCCACATTTCCTGCAAAACCCCCTCCAACAATCACCTCTGTGGCCACTGGGCATTTTTAGCCCCGTTCCTTCCCCTACTCACCCAGGCCTCAGTGTGGGCCTGCCACCCCATCGGTTCTGCCCACCCCTACTCGGTACCCACTCCACTGTGGTGCACTGCAGAGACTTTGGCACACAGCACTCCCCTCCAACCTGCCACACGAAGAGCTGGCTTCTCAGTGAGGCCCTGGTGCCCAAGACCAGGAATAGGTTCCACTTGCTGCCAAACATGGATCATCCCCACACCTCAGTAAGTCCATGATGAAGAAGTGGCCTGTGTCCTGGGGCTCAGCCCTGTGTACGCAGTGGATCACAGATTACACAGTAGCCCAATGTGTACCCACCCAAACCCTTCTCAACTCTGTCCGATGTCTGCCCGGGCCCAGTCACAATCCAAACAGATGGCTCCTCAGGCCACTGTCCAAGGACAATGTCCCACTCCAAAGTCTACTCACCCACAATGTGTGATAAGCTGTCTCCCCCACATATCCCTTAAGCATACCCATGAAGCATAAGCCAGCTGCTCAGAGAGCTGTGTCCCTGGAGCATAAAAATCAAACCAGGGAGCACAGGATGACTTCTTACATGGAGCTCAGGTTGGTTCCCACAGAGAGCCTAGATCATGGGGTTGGGTAGGATGTAGCCCTGGAGAGGCAACAGCATGGCTAAGCAGCAGGTCCCCAAACTCAAGTGATAAGAGGCAAGGTAGTCTCGGGGGCTGTGAGACTTGAACAGTGTCCTGATCTCTCGGCTGGACTGCTGCACAGAAAGGACACTGTCCCAGGAACAGGAATGGCTGACACTTGGGTATGGAAATTGTGATGTCCACCCAAGACACAGGACTCTCCCACCTGCTCCAGGGTATGCTTCTGCTGGCCCAATCATCACCCCAGCACCTGGAAACAGAACCTCCATGAAGTTGATGGGGTGCTCCCACCCATATGTCCCCAGGCTACTGCCTCCCAGAGACCCAACTCAAACAGCACTAATTCCACACCCAGAATTGTTGGCTCCTGGCGACATCCTCCAGCTCTCCAGGTGAGAAAAGAGTCCATTAGTCATGGGGCAGATGTGCTGGGGCCTGCAGGCCACCACTAGTCTCCAGTCCTTTGCCTGAGCATCACTTCAGCTCAGTTCGGCTCTGCCTGAGCCTAGACACACCTGATTTCAGGTGAGGGCCCAGCCTCTACCAATCCCCACCTCCAATGCTTGCTGGTATAGGGAAGGACCCTAGCACAGACCATGGACGCCCCCTCTAGCCTCCCAAAATGAAAAATTGAGGGTGTAGCTTGAGTCGGTATGTGTTCCCTGCTGGACCACAGGAGCAAGAGCCAGGTGAAAATGCATAGAATGGGTCCACAGGGAGCTGTACCTCACCACCCAGGGCAACTTGCCCCAATCAGTGGCCTCCCTGCAGGGACATTCTAGCCCAGTGTCCTCTGAGTGTTTACTGATCACACCGTGGCTCAGCAAGGCCATTTATGTTGGCTCTCATCCCTGAGTGAAAGCTTCCTTCTACTTGGTGGCTTTCCAGACTGGTCCTTCCTGAGCTGTCTCAGGAAGCCACTCAGGAGCACTCAACAGGCGGTTGCCTGGTGGGGCTTGGCGGACCATGTGGACCAGGTCCCCTGCAGGCTGGCTTGTCGACCTTCTCCTGCCAAACTCCCCAGGGATAGAAGAGTAACAGAAGCCTGAATACAGAGCACTCCTGAGCAGGAGGTGCCCATAGCACAGTTGCAGACAGGAAGTACACACCTGCTCCTAGGCTGCCAAATACCCCGACAGCAGAGTGGGCAGCACGAGTTCTGATGCATCCCAGGAGGGGGGAGGGTATCCTGGCAGAGTAACAGAAGCCAAAGCCCTCTGCACTCCACCCCTGCAGAGGCACAGTCAGAGGAAAGGGGTGTGCCACAGACACAGGGAACAGAACCACCCTTCCCAGCCAGCCTTCAGGAACATAGCCCTCAGGCCCTACACCTAGCCACCAGACAAATGAGCACAAGAAAACTGCCTCTAAAGCTAGAGTTCCTGAGCCATAGACAAACAAGGGACAGCACGCTCACAGCCACTGCCAGAAGGCCTGTGCCTCAGACTCTTTGTACCCCTTAGAATTCATCTGTTTGCTACTCCAGCCATGCCACTGTCTGTCACCAGCAGCTAGCCTTCTTGTTCTAGAATGCTGCATTGTTACTCCGGAGCTCCCCTCCCTGGCTGGCTTTCCTTGGGATACTCTGTGGAGTCCTCCGCACTGCTGCTCACACCAGCCTCCCATCAGCACAGCAGTATGTGCAGAGTTATGCCCCAACCTCCTAGTCACAGCCACACTGCACAGCACTGTATAGCGGGCAGTCCACCCTGACCCCAAGAGCCAAGCAAAAGCCAGTGCCCCTTGCCACCCTCATATCCTATCAACAGAGTGTGAATCTATACACAAGTCTGGGTCTTCTCCACCGCTCTCATGGATCAACAGTGAGACAAGAAGGCATCACCCTAGCCCAGAGGCAAGAAACCGCCCGCCTTTGGTGTGTGTCTGCCTGAGATCCTGCGTTGCTCACAGTCTGGGAGCTGCCAGTCCTGGGCCTGGGAAGGAGGGCAAGGCTGGTTTCCCAATAAGGCAACTCCTTTCCCACTGGAAGGCACAGACAGCAGTGCTAGAAGGGCCAGGTGCATGTTTCCTCGCTACAAATTAGCCTTGTCCAATGCATACACTTACACTCAGGTAAGATCTGCTCTCTTCTTCTTCTTCTTTTTTTTTTGGTACTGAGGATTGAACCCAGGGGTGCTCTACCACTGAACTACATCCCCAGTCGTTTCTGAAAAGGAGTCTTACTAAGTTACTAAGGCTGGCCTTAAACTTGCCATCCTCCTGCTTTAGCCTCCATGGTCTCTTGGATGACAGATGTGTGCCATCATGCCCCATCCTGCTTCTGATTTTTAGCAGCAGTGACCCACATTCACATGGAAATACTGTTCCTCCTTTTTGATCTTTAGGTGCAGATATTTATCCTCCTTTTTGATCTTTAGGTGCAGAGGCGAGATATGTGTTATGTGAGGAATAATATTTCTTCCATGCAAGATAGAGCCTGGCCTCTACCCCTGAGGGATCAAGGATGCCAGCCCCCCCATCTGCACCCCCCATGTCAAAGCCTCCCAAGCCACCTCCAGGGACAGGCCCAGGCCCAGATGAAGTGAGGCTGGACAGCCAGGCTGCCCTGGGACCCACCTGCCACTAGGATGGCCCCCTCCTCGGGAAGATCAGAACTCTGGGATACCTCCACAGGACAGGATATGATGGGAGGCCACAAAAGGCGAAAAGAATGAGTCACCAGGCAGTAAGGGTGGAGCTTCACTCTGCTTCAGGTGTTTTACTTCTTCTTCTCATACTTCTGACACTCCACCCACTCACCTCAAATTACACATTGAAGGCCCTTTATGGTCAAAATCACACAGTGGGTCAGGAAGGGTGTGTGCTCTGCAGAAGGAAGGTACAGCAGATAGGGGTGGCATTCACATTTGCCCCAGGGGGCCACCTTGGAGAACCCTGGCCTCCTATCCAACACAACACCACCTACAATTACAGACTGGGAGAGTCATCACTCCAGGCCCTGATCATCCTAGTGAACAGCACGCCCAGCCCAGGGTTGAGGGTCCCACATACAGTGAGAGCCTGGACACAAACTGGCAACCACACTTTCCTTGACTCCGTGTCCCACACATCGGTTGGAAGGTGGACACAGTGGTAAAGGTTCTGTGTCACAGTTAACTGATTCAAATGCTTTAACAAATCCAAGGCTCTGGAACAGCAAGTCCATGAAGCCTGAAGGCTGGTACTCCGGAGAGACACTGCACAGCTGGAGCACGACCGCCACGCCACCACCAAGCTCCACAGAGGAGGTGGCAGCAGCAGGGCACGTCTGCATCTGCTCTCTGGCCCAGTTCTACACTCGGTGCTACTCAACCTGTGGGTATTTAAAATAACCATTCGAACCAGGTGCATGGCACACTCCTATAATCCCAGTGGCTTGGGAAACTAAGGCAGGAGGATGACAAGTTTCCAGCAGCCTCACCAACTTAGTGAGGCCCTAAGTAACTTAATGAGACCCTGTTTCAAAACATAAAAAGGACTGGTGATTGGGGCTCAGTGGTAAAGCACTGCTGGATGCAATCCCTGATATCCTCCCCCCAAAATAATAATAATAATAAAAAAAATAACCATTAGGGGCTGGGATTGTGGCTCAGTGGTAGAGCTTTCTTCTGCCACATTCGAGGCCCTGGGTTCCATCCTCAGCACCACATAAAAATAAATATTTAAAACTAAAAAATAAATATATTTTTAAAAATAACCATTAAATAGCGGTTGTGATAGATTTTATTGCCAAAAAATAGAAATAAAAAATTTTTGTACGAGTAGTAGATAATGTGGATTAGGATCCTATTTTTTTAATTTATTTATTTTTTAGTCATTGAAAGACCGTTATTTTTTTATTTACATGCAGTGCTGAGATTCAAACCCAATGCCTCACACATACCTGGCAAGTACACTACCACTGAGCCACATCCCTAGCCCCAGGATCCTATTCTTTCTTTTTTTTAGAATTTTTTAATATTTATTTTTTTTAGTTTCCAGTGGACACAATATCTTTATTTTATTTTTATGTGGTGCTGAGGATCAAACCCAGAGCCCCGAGCATGCTAGGCAAGCGCGCTACCGCTTGAGCTACATCCCCAGCCCCCAGGATCCTATTCTTGAGGAGAAACTGAAGGCTGTATATATGCTGAGAAGAATCTAGAGGGGCCAGGCTGAGCAGTGTCATCCACTGCCCGCTCACCTACATTTTCTCGTTTCCACAATAAATGTGTCTCCTACCTGCCTGCAACAACAATGTGCTCTGTATGGTACAGCTGCAGAGCAGTCACTGGAAAGAGGAACTCAAATATGTAAAAAAAGAGTCCTTTAAAATGACAAAGCCCCACAGGAGATGATTCAGGGACCAACTAGTCAGGGCTGTTGAAGTTACAGGCTGCTTTCCTCAGCTCCTGAACCCTTAAACAGCATAGGAGCCAGGTTTGCAGGGCTGGCTGCCTGAGTCCCCAGAGTAAGCACAAGCCCTTCAGGGCCTGGATCTACACAGATGGGTTTCATAACTGGTTTTAGGGGCACTCAAATCTGATGAAGAGTGATAAGGTTGAAAGGAGGGGAAAGAAAATTTTTTACATTAAGAGTCAGCTCCTCCCTCGAGCCTTGAACTGTGCAGACACTGGGGGAACCACTGGTTCCAAAGCCATGTGGGTACCCTTCAGCCACAGTCACACTGAGTATGGCACTCTGACAGGTGCAGGGGACTTACTGAGCCTTTGTAAAAGAGGTCTGCGTATGTCACCCAAAACCAGTCCTCAGGGCCTCGAAGAACTCACCTGAAGGAGGCCAGGTCTCAGCTGAAGCTACAAGACCAGAACAATGATTTTTAAAAAGCATGGCTTACTAAAAACCTTAAAAATCTTCATACTTATAAGCCTGGTTAAGGTCAAAAGTCTATCCATAAAATATCTAATCTGTTCTTTTTTTTTTTAAGCCCCCCACTTTTTTAAATCATGACTTTTATTTTGAGAGAGAGAGAGAGAGAGAGAATTTTTTAATATCTATTTTTTAATTTTCGGTGGACACAACATCTTTATTTTTTTTGTTTTTATGTGGTGTTGAGGATTGAACCCAGTGCCCAGCACATGCCAGGCAAGCGCGCTACCGCTTGAGCCACATCCCCAGCCCCTGATCTGTTCTCTTGAAGTAACTCAGGAACCAGAAACCCCACATCAGGTTCACTCGACTCATGTCCCAACCCCACACCTGGGTGATTTTCAGACTCAGCTGAGTAAAAGAAGCCTCCTCCATGAATGGAGAGCCTGCAGAAGCTGAGTGCTCTGCTTCCAAGCATATCACCCGCCTTGCTGCCCAGGGTCTTTTCCACACTGTTTTAGCAGGATGTTTTAAAGGAGCCTCACTTCACCCAAGTGAATCTGTGGTAACAGCCCACAAGGACCCATCCAATGTCCCTGTGAGCCACAGAAGGCTGACCACAGTTGCCACACATAAGAACAGAAACAAGACAAAAATGGCCTGGACTGCTTTTATTTGCAAATCTTTTTGTTCACCAGCAAAATGTTTAATCCCCAAAGTTTTCAATATACTCCACATAGCACCATGAGCCTCACACTCCAAAGGAAGGGAATGTCCAAGAACCAAGATATGAGGACAATTCATGAGTGGCCTTCATGCATCCCTCTGATGCTCACCCATTATGAGGATCTCGAAGGCATGTCTCTGCCACCATTACCTTGAAGTGCCAACCCTTGATGGGCCCATGGATTCCATAGGCCCCCCCCTCCAAGACCCTGGCGAGGGCAGACAGGAAGTCACTTGACCCCCCCCAGGCATCACGACATCACGTCCCATGCAATATTCCCATGACTCCTCACCCGCTCGCCAGCCAGCGACTGAAGATGGGGGTCCACAGTGCATGGCTTCCATGGCCACAATGATGACAGCAGCCAGTCAAGAAAGCTGGGAGAAGCTGGGCGCAGTGGCACACGCCTGTAATTCCAGCGGCTCAGGAGGCTGAGGCAGGAGGACCACAAGTTCAAAGCCAGCCTCAGCAACTCGGCGAGACCCCATCTCTAAATAAAATGTAGAAAAGGGCTGGGGATGTGGCTCAGTGGTTAAGCACCCCTGGATTCAATCCCAAGTAACCAAACCAAACAAAAAAACTTCAGCCCTTCCTACTCTGCTGTCTTACCTAGTGTTTTCCAAAGTACTTGTCCCCTGAGACACTGGGCACTCTACTCATCTCCACCAGGCATCTCTCCATCAGCACCCAGCTCCATGAATGAAGGGTTTCTGTTTGTTTGATTCACCAGTCTCCTGACCTAGAGAAGCCTTGTCACACAGCCAGCTGCACAGTGCCACATAGTATAATCTTTCCTGTCTGCTCAGACTCAATCTCTCTGGAGCCCACACCTGCCACTTTCCCTTGGTCTGCTTTCATTTTCCACAACACTCTTAACAGTCTGCTACCATAAAAAGGGACCAAGTCTTCTAAGATGAAGAACTCCTCAAGAAGACCCAATAAGAAGACCCCAAGGGGGAGAAGCAAGCCCCAATTCACTTTAACACACCAGTGCTTCATCTGTGCTGATGATGCTGGAAGCCCACTGCACAGAACAGAGTGTTCTTAAGAAGGGCAGGGTTTCAACTCACAAGGGGCCGCAAGGGTGCTCAAGGCGCCCCAAAGTGATCTTCTAATGAAGAAGAGCCCTCTGTGCAGTGCAGTGGTACACACTTGTAACAGAACTATTTGCTAAACCCCAAGTGCAAAAGCCGGCAGGCAACCCCAACATTACAGACTCACCAGCCAGAAGGCCCTGCACACTCACCCTTCACTGGGCCTTCAGATCTATAGAAAGCAGGCAACCAAGGGCATCACAGGTCACATCATCAGCCAGGAAGACAGAAACCAAGACAATACTACCCTATGCAAAAAGCAACCCTAAAATCATTTAAAAAATCACATCAGCCAGGTGTGGTAACGATGCCTGTAATCCTGAAAACTGAAGAGGCCTAGGCAGGAGGATCCCAAGTTTTAGGACAACCTGGGTAACATAGAAAGACCCTATCTCAAAAGGAACAATAAAGGTAGGCTGGGGTTGTGGCTCAGTGGCAGAGCG